GTCATGAAAATGTTACCATACAAAATTCAATCATTTAAAGACAGGTTTCATTATCTTTGTGAGATTCACCCTAGTATTATCAGCCCTTTTTTCTGTTGTCCAATGTGACCCCCTTATTTGCTGAAATTAAAGCTCCTGCCAATCACATTAACATTCACAAAGTCAGTGTCCTGTCCTGTCACCTCTCAGCGAACTCATCTTTCACTCTCTCTCCCCCCTCTCTTTTTGGCCCCTCCCTCTTTCCTTTCTCTGCCTTCTTCCTTCTCTTGCCTCTCAGATATGAATGCCAACCCCAACAAGCGCCAGAGGCAGCCGGCTCTGCTGGGAGACCACCCTCCAGAGTATGGTAAGGCTTGCGGGGGCACACGCGTTAACACATTTGCCTCATTTGCTCGCAAACAGGGGAGTGGATGTTAAAACGACAACAAATTGGGGTGCATTGATCACAGTGGCAGCAAGATGGTGCTGTGTTGACATTAAAAGTTAAACTAAAGTGAAGGGTGTGTAAAATGCTTGTTTACCCCTAACCTGCCCACAACCCCCACCCCACGTGGTCTGTTTGTCATTTGTGGATTCTCAGGAGGTTATCACGGATACCAAGACGAGAGCTACGGCGGCCCCTATGAAGGCCGACGGATGGGGCCGCCCATGGGTGGTCCAAGGCGTGGTGGAACCAGTCAGCGTTACGGCGGACAGTACGGCCCCCCTCCTCCGCCCCCCGGTGAATATGGCGCACATGCAGACTCACCGGTGATCATGCTCTATGGCCTGGATCCCTCAAAAATAAACGCAGACAGGGTCTTCAACATCTTCTGCCTGTATGGAAACGTGGAACGGGTATGTAGAACACCTAAATGTAAGCTGGATACTGTCAAAACGCGAACGACTTTATCCGAAATCCGTTTTTCCCCTTTAAATGTAGGTGAAATTCATGAAGAGCAAGCCTGGAGCTGCTATGGTGGAGATGGGAGACTGCTATGCTGTGGATCGTGCCATCTCACATCTCAACAACAACTTCCTGTTCAATCAGAAGCTCAACGTATGGTACGTTCCAATAGCAACCCTCTACGGGACACCTTGGCAATTGAATCGCCATTGGCTAGTAATTTTTTTAGTTTACTCGCCAGACTGATAGATATATATATATATACACACACACACACACACACA